TATGTGTAAACAAACAATATCAACCATTAAAGGCTCCAGACATCAGTATGGAGCAGAATCAGCGCAATAAAAAAATAGCGCAATATTTTGTTGCAATTTCTTACAAAACTTGCGCACAAAAAGCAAATCTAGTATGAAAATAATCAAACTTCTAATGCTCGTAACTCAGTTCAGACTGAGTTTAGAAGTATACATGCCATAGTAAGTTTGGTTTATTACACTATTTTGTAATCAAAAAACAAAGTTTGGTCGATGGCCGCGCGAAAAAAAAAAGACGCCATACAGGGTGTTAGGTAAATGGGTATATGAGCCGACACTAGCCCATGTTAACATAGGCATATAAATGGTATGGTGAAGTCAGAAATTTGATATCATCATTTTAATTTTTTAAATGTTCATACAAAATAAAATTTATAAAATCAGATTTGTATGAAAATTTAAATTATTAAAATGATGATATCAATTTTCTGACTTCGCCATACCATTTATATGCCTATGTTAACATGGGCTAGTGTCGGCTCATATACCCATTTACCTAACACCCTGTATACTTGTACAACCCGGTCGAGTTAACTGCGAACCTGGCAGCCGTGACGTCACATCGACGGTCTGGTACAGACGGAGCGAACGCGAGGTGTGCGGGTAAGTGGGAGGGAGAGTCGCATTCCAGCTAGGTACTATTAGAGGCCGGTCAATCTATTCTCATAAATAAAACACTGGATACTCATCTTTCACATTATATTGCCATAATTTAGATACAATTCATCACTTAGCCACGGTAATACTATCTATACAGTATTCCAACTCGGCCATATTTTTGAAATAAATGTCAACAGTCGCGCGGTACGTCACAGTATGACAACATGCGATAGGGCTGCCCACCTACAGTACCCAGTTTAATTACATCTGCCTTAGCTTACTTAGAATTTCTATCCAGTTTTGTGATTGTATTTTTTTATTTAGTTAGACAAACAAAATACTTTGTGAATGGAATAGGTTAAAAATGTGTGTTGTTTTGTGATTAGTAGATTTAATTTATTTAAAACTACGTAAATAATTTTGAAACTTTAATAATCATAATGATCTGTTACGTAAATTTCGGGCGAGCGAAGTCGTGGGCAAAAGCTGATTAATACAATATAATTTTCATTTGAAATCAAACTGACTGAAAATGACAATTTGACTAGTTTTTGAACAATTTGACCGTAAATGACGGTCACTCAAATTCAATCAGTTTTGTCATTTTTAACACTTGGCCACCGTCGTCCATTCGGCACATTCGCGACACTTGCATACCGAGCGCATACCGAGATTTGAATTTCGAAAGAAAGTTCTCGTTTCGTCTGTTTATATGAAGTTACAATACTGTATGATATTATTACCGTGACTTAGCACAAAAGCCGCGCGGAGTCGTCTCCGCGCGTCCCTCTATTCTGACGTTTGATTCTCGTGTGACATTGACGTACTGTCAATGTCACTATGACAGCATCTCATTGGCTATAACGATACCGCTATTTTAACGTTTTAGATTTTTCATAATTAACAGTACGCAGTTAGCTCGATCGGGTTGTATCTAGTTTTGTTTAACAATTTCTGCCACCATATTGACATCTCAATTTAATTTTATTTCAGGTATCAATTGTTGGAATCCGTCCTTTGACGTCACTCCAGCAAGCTTAATCACCGGCATCATCACAGAAAAGGGCGTATTTACACCTAGTCAACTAAAGGAGGAAATTCCTAAATACCAATTGCCCATAGCTAAATGATAGCGTTTACCTATTCTACCAATGGCTTGTTTCACTGTCTATCTTCAAATAGTAGAACTATTGTGGAGACTTTTGCTGTCCAAATTGTGCAAATAACTTTCTTAAATCTATAAAAACACATGATGAAAATTCAATTCGAATAAATGGGATTCAAAATAATTATGAAATACATTAATATGGACTTACATACTCCAAAATTATGCCGATTTTAGACCATCATAGAAAATAATGTCATAATTCGTATAGATGGTGAACAAGCCTAATTTTAAAGAAATTAATTGCTACAAATATCGCCAATGTATCTGAATATGCCTTATTTAATGTTTATTATATTATTATGGCAATAAAGTGTGTAATGCCATTATTTAAATAAACTAATATACGATTGTTACTCGCATAAAGTGTGATTTATACACATATTTTTGTACTGCATATTAATTAATTCGTTTACAATGTGCTTCGAAATACTAGTTTTATTACTACAGGAGTTACAATAATATTACATGTTGACAATGAAACAATATTAGTGAGATGCGGATGGTTGCTCCAAAGAAAATTTACTTATATTTTGCTCGAATAAAGCTCTTTTTTGGATCAACCACACACGATTTTAGCCAATCATTAATGTCGATTAATATAACAGAATCATAAATTGTGTATTATTGTGTCAAATACTGCAAAGTGTGCTTCCAATTAAAATAATTTATGATTAATTAATTCCCTTATCATTTTCATAATGCAAAAATATCATTTAAAAATTAACCTTACTAAGCTTAAGAGAGGTTAAAGCATAGGGTGGTAACTTCAGTCAGGCCAGTCAGTGCTTGCACAAACTTTAAATACTGCGATTAGTAGATACGCCAGTTTTCAGTTACCAAGTCATAGGTAATCCTTTGTAATTAATTTTCAAACGGCCAAATCTTGCCTTGTATGGTCAAATTAAAAAAAAGTTTGCAATCACACATCCTGTTGCAGTATAATCAGACTGACTTGAGGTCCTGCGATAGAGGAATGATGCGGTAGGGGTGGCATCACCATTCAGTGTAATGAGACAACTGTAGTGCACTGTCTCTGTGATGAGACTTATCGTATTTTTGCGAACTACATAATACAGACAAAATAAAAACGTTTCATATGGTCATGGCCAGTTACCCATTCTCTTTGTCATGATAGTGGCTCAAAGTTTTAAAATAGTATTTATAATTTTATATTATGAGTTTGAACATATCATTATGATCATATTATACTGGAGTTAGGTCTTGAGTTTGAGTGTTTGCCTCATGTCCTTAGAGTCGAGCCAATTTATTGGTTCAAGTGATAGTTACAGTACTAACATTTTACTAAACCAACCGATTAAGGTCTAAAAAGCGTTAACTTATTTATAATGTAATAAAATATGTAGCTACCGATATTACATAACATTGTTTTATTAACATTCCGTTCTCCGTTTCAGCCAAATGACGTCTACTGCAGAACAAAGGAGGGAGGCCTTTCCAACAGGCTTCCCCCAAAGATTTCCATAACGACTGGTCCTGCACTGTCCGACTAACTGACTATATTGGTACAGGCATAACTTAAATCTTAGCAGCTAGTAGGTTCCTGCAGTAGTGGAGTGAATACGCTGATGGCATTGAGTAGAGACTAAACAAAAATACAACCCTTTCCACACCGCCCCATTGTCGTAGGAATCTATCTATAAGGGGGCGTCCATAAATTACGTGAGACAATTTTGGCTATTTTTCAACCCCCCCGCCCCCCTTGGTGAGATTTGGTGAGATTTTGCCTGACCCCCTCCCCCACCCCCAAATCTCACGTGATATTAAAAAAATCCGAAATTTTATAGTTTTGGAGTAATATAACTAAGAATCATTATTTTAAAAAGATCTATAAAGTTAAAGATTTTTAGTTCTTGAAAGTATCTGCTAGGGACTCTGTACAATCATCATACATTTAATGTATGTCATTTTTTACGCAGTCGCTAGCGGATGCCGATTGTGTAAAGTCGCACTAAGCCCACTGATTACGAATAGATCCAGAAAAACACGTGTAGTGACAGCGGTTAGTACTAGGGTCACATTGTTTTTTTTTACAGAAGTACCTAGTCTAATTGTTCCTTTCTACAAAATCACTAATAATCTAGCAAAATCGATTTTGATAAAAAAAGAACTTGTTTTATAATTTTCTTAATTTCGTAATTTATTCTGCATTTTAGTATTCACACATGCAGACGGAAGCATTTTTAGTTTTATTTGTTTAGACTGTATAGAATAAAATGACATTATCATCATCTATACTTATAATAAATCTGTAGAGAGGTCAATTCTGTACATGAAATATATTTTCAAAATAACTATCAGGGGGTGATTAGTGATCGATACTGATGCCAAAAATGCAATCAGTAAAATTTTTGTCTGTCTGTCTGTCTGTCTGTCTTTCTGTCTGTCTGTCTGTCTGTCTGTCTGTATGTTCCTTATAGAAACAAAAACTACTTGACGGATTTTAACGAAACTTGGTACAATTATTCTTCGTACTCCTGGGCAGGTTATAGGATACTTAGGAATTCCCACGGGCACGGGAATTAGCGGGAAAATCCTTTTGTATAAAAAATCTAAACTGCTTAAGTTAGACGCTTGAAATTTGGCATGCAGGTACCTTAGTAAACTTAAAGCTTAGTTACAACAGGATATTGCAAAATTCCCACGGGAACGGGAGTTNGTAGTTGAAACAGACTACAGCTAATTTTTATAGTGGACTGTACTATACGATAAACATGTCAGTCAATTTGACAACCTTTGTCGGAAACATTATTCAGTGAAAATATTGTCCGAACCCTTAGTATTTCTCTTCGACAAATACATTAACACATCGTGAACCACTTTTCTTTCACGACTATAAAAATATTTTAGCAATTTAATTCACAAAATCAATTGCAAACATTTAAAATAAAGTTTGTTTACACTTTGACAACAATAGACTGACATGCAAGGTGACATGTCAATGAAGTTTTCAGTTACTGTTGCCATTAAAAGAAATTAGTACCATTAGTTTTCCGCAACATGGCGAGGGTTTTTATGTTCCTGGTCAGGCTATATTAAACTATTTGTAAAATAACGTTACACTGATAACAACAAAAAAGTAACGATTTTGTTATTGTCTATGACATACAGAGAGTGTATCTGTATTTCTTTGTTGGTCTCGTCATTAAAAAAAAAAACTTTAGTCTGTGGAAAATCATTTCCAATATGTCAGGTTGTAGGGACGTTGAGAAACTTAGTTTAATTTTAATTAATTAGGATAAGAATAGTATCTTAAAAACGATAAACATGTTGCATTAATAAAGCTTGTGTATTCGTTAGTTCTTTGTTTGAGTTTAATGGATGTTGCTGTGTGGATTGATCGGTTCACACCACTCGAGAAGGAAACGATTCATAAGTTGGTAATTTGTTTCGGATTCAGTGTAAATGATTGAAGTGACTAAGTTGTTCTTTGAATTCGTGCTAAGTGTGTCGAAATAATAAATTATTGTATTGTAAATAAAAAATATTGTTTGTTCGCGCATGCGTTTCTGTCGAAAACAGACAAAGGTTTTGTGTGGTTTGAAAATCAGCTGTATTCTATGTGCAATGACTTAGTAATACAAAAAGTGTGTGTTTGGAAGCGACAATGTTCAGTGAAATTGGATACATAGTTTTCTTACTTCTTGCTCTGCCGTATATTGAAAGTGGTAAGTAACATCCTTTGTATATTTTACACTTAGTGCCTGCTCACCAGTCACCACTGACAATAAATAAAAGGTGTCGATTTGGCTCGTTCTCATTAGGTATTTTGTTCAGTATGAAATAAGCTCTCTATGATATTGAATTTCATGTGTAAAATAAAGTTTAATTTGATTTATCAAGATCAGTAAATATTGTGAAATTGAGTAGGGCTATGACTTCCTTTCAATGTCTACAGTAATACCAGATTTCAGCACTAGTCACAACACAGGCCTGTTTTGTAATTTGATACACACAGTAGTCAGCTTTTAATTTCAAGATCATATTCATTCACTCTAGCTAGAGGCAAGAGATATTGACCATGTCCAAATTAGCTGAGAGCTATTTAAAATTCAAGTACACAGAAATAATGAGCATAATTTAATTTAAGAAATCTTTTAGCCTTTCCTTTTAATGCACTGATTGTCATCTAGTTTCAAATGAAGACATATTTTTTATTTGTGATCTAAGCTGAAATAGAAATCTTGGTTTGGTCAAACACAACTGACATTGCTACTACTACTTCTCTAATAAATGTAAAATAACATGTAATTTAATAATTGGGAGACATAAGTATTTAGGTAAATCTAATTAAGTTATATTTTATGAAGCTGAGAAAGTTATTAGTAAAATAATTTTCATAAAAATATCCTTAGATTAATAAAGCCCAGCCTAGTCTCAACTATCAACTTAAATTCACTCACTTCTCACTATTCTTTCTTACTATAACTAAGATATGATTAATCTATGCTTTTATCAAAATCTATATCATGAAGCCCTTGAAAATTCTATTGTAAATAAAACAAAAACAGATTGTAAACAAAATCACTAAATTTGTTAATTCTCATTTGCCTCCTGTCCCATATAAAAAACTTATTCAAGCTGTTGCTATTTTGTTGTCTAGCTGAAAAAAAAACCATAGCCAGTATTCCACACTACTAGTACTGCAACAGACAGAAAATAACTTTTGATTTAATGAACTACATAAACAATTACCTAATCGTAGAGGTAAATAGCGACTTCATTAAATTATCGTAGCCATTCATTAACAGATTGATTGTGGTTATATTTCCTTAATCACAGACTCAATTTAATATTGAAATCGTTTACTAAGTAATTAATAGGGTTTTCTGTGCTCTTATCAGTCAATTAATACAACATGAATAAATAAGTGTATTGCCGGGCTAGAGGCTAATCCGATTATTTTGTCAAAAAAGTTGTTTATCATCATTAAATAAAAAAAATCAAATGCCGAGTAAATGGTATAATATCAAAGAATGCTTATATGTACACACTAAAACATTTATTTTATTTGTATACTAGCTGACCCGGCGAACTTCGTACCGCCTTAGCGTAGAGATTTTCTTAATATTTTTTTCCGTAAGAACCATCCTTGGACTTCCACAAACATTAAAAAAAAAGAATTATCGAAATCGGTTCAGCCGTTCACACGTGATGCCGTGACAACGCGAAACGGGTTTCATTTTTATATATATATAGATTACGGTCAAAGTGATAAATGTGAAAATTATGAATAATCGCCGGTTATTATGAATAATTACCGCATGATTTGGTAAATGTGATTAATATGAGGTCATTNAATTAGTATCATGCTCAGATATTAGTTAGTATTTGAAATCATTACTACCATGACCTTACTTTTACCAAATATTGTTATCCTAATCCATGTGTAAGGTACAATAATAAAACAAATACCTGTTTTTTTGTTTCGGGTGTTACATCGCCGAAGTAACAAGAAAACACACTTAAAACTTGATGATTATCAATTTTTTTGGGACTATGACGCTATCTAACAATACTATGATAAATACCCTCAAATCATATAGTGGCAAAACGTTTCACAGATTGATAGTTTTTTTTTAATCGTATTACCAATAATTAGAGAGAAAATGATCATTCAGACAGTTGACTTAAGTATTGACTTTGAAGACTAATAACTTAAAAATTACTTGTTTCTTGCAGATTATTTTTGTTGCACATTATAATTTGGAATGTTTACTTTCAAAATTAATCAGATTTAATGCGAAAAGAACATATTTAGTTTTTAACCCTCGGTAACATTTGTCATGGAATGACCCCGGTTATTAAATAATTTTCAATTTATCACATTAACCGTAACATATATAAAACAATAGTGTCTGGACAAACCTCAAGAGGATTTAAGACACTAGACTACTTAAATCAAAGATGTAACAGCTAAATATCTATACTAATATTATAAATGCGAAAGTAACTGTCTGTCTGTCTCTCTTTCACGCCTAAACCACTGAACCGATTTTGATGAAATTTGGCATAGAGATAGTTTGAGTCCCGGGAAAGGACATAGGATAGTTTTTATCCCGGTTTTTGATAAAGTTTTTGTGACAGTAAAAATTCCACGCGGGCGAAGCCGCGGGCGGAAAGCTAGTATGATAATAAATAAATAAAATAAGAGAAAACTAAAAAAAATCATAGGTTTGTTTGTTTTGCCTTTAATCCTCTATTATGTGCGCAAAACAAGAAGATTATTACAATGAAATATTGAAATAAAAAATTGGAAATAACTACAACAGGATCATCATAAACAGCCCTTTACAGTCCACTGCTGGACTATGAGCCTCCTTCACTATAGTGGAGGGTATTGCCATAATCCCCACGCTTGGCAGGCGGGTTGGAGATCGCAGTTTAAAATATTGATGTTTTTCAGAGAGCGCTACACAACAGGATAATTGTTTTATAATAATATGAAAGAGGTAAAATATTTTATGATGTAATTCATATTCAGGAGAAATCACTTAAATTTAGTCATCCAGTTTTAATAATAAATTATGACGACATGTAACTTACAAACAACAGCACATAAAAGTAAACACTGTGGCATCTTACGTAAGTTAAAAAGGTGAGTTTGCAGTAAAAATGTAGGTATAATCTCTGATGTAAGTTCATCCAGCTAGATCAACATTGCCAAATTAATGAGAAAGGCAACTGTGTAGAACTAAACCCAATAATTAGGAATCAGCTAAACTGTTTTATGACAAGGATAGATTCAAGATTTGATAGGTCCATAAAAATATTTTGTAACTTTCATTAAATCAGTCAAACCATCAGACTTTAGCCACAGACTAACAATTAATATTTTTTTTTGTCTGCTTGTAGAGATCATTTTTTATTGAACCAATTTATGCTCATTTTGTACTGTATAGTTGACAGCACATCAGACAACACATTTTTGTTGGAAAATAGCATCTATTAGAAGTACTTAAGACCCCACAGTGTTAGCTTGCCGTGGTGTCCTATCGCTCCACGCATTAAAACTCACTCAGCTCCGCGCTGTCTTGCCCGATATATTCGACTTTGCGGTGCTAAAACCTGTTCCGAAATTCTGAGTCACGATAAATCTGACGCCTTACTCACTCGTCAACCCACCTACTTTTATAAAACGAGCACTCGAAAGCTGCCTATGATTTGCACATTACCTAGAGGCGTATTTTTGAAGCATTGAGATTAAGAAAAAAAATCTTAACGAATTAATAATACAAGTCGTAAAAAAGATTTGTAATTTTGGACATGATGTGTCAGCAGTACACGCCTTATTATCATCGAAGGCTAAATAAATAGAAACGCTTCAAAAAAGACGTATCTTGTTTATTTCCTTTTAGTTCTGGTAGGTACATTTGAGTTCACCAGCTGAAAATTATTTTTATTCAGAATGTTTGGTAAAGTTTGGTTTCAGTATTTATTGTTCCTTTCGTGCTTATTTTCTTTGGTTTAATTTGATTTTTTCAAACAACAACATTAAAGAGCAGTTTAGCTCTTGATAGAGCTAGATTAAATGAACTCCCTACCAATACACGTCTTCATTATTATGTTCTACTGCCTATTGCAAAAATATTGTTTTTTAGCGCCCGTTTACTGCGCACGCAATGTTTACGCTATGCTTTCTCGTATTCGACGAAATTTTCAACGTGGCGTACGCCTATTTCCATTATTTTTATTACCTAATGAAAGAAGAACGGTCACGCCCCATACAAAAAAAACCCAGACCCGACAGAAACGAGACATACCTCAGTTTTTTTGTCATGTCTTAATTAGTTAAATTATATATTTTTTATATTCGAAATCTATGTATAACACCAAAATATTACCCTTTGTTTTTGTTCAGGCGTTATACAAAAACGAATACAAAATGCCTATTTATCTCATACTTTAGAAGTCCTGTAAGTTTTAGGTATGATTCCTTAAGAAAATTCGCTAAATTTCGAGTAAATGCAGCAACAGTCAGAACATAGAGGCAAAATCTCGTAACGCCCGAAACGCACACTTTTCGACGCATATTTTCATTATCCTACATTCTAAGCTGTACAAACTTTATTATTTAGATAAAACAACTAAAAACGGACAGATTAAGGCACTAACATTATTAAAATACTATTTCAAAATACATGAAATTGTTGAATATGTGTGTACGAACGTAACACCCGAAACGATGGAATGACCCATTAGTTTTTGTATAACGCCTGAACAAAAACAAAGGGTAATATTTTGGTGTTATACATAGATTTCGAATATAAAAAATATATAATTTAACTAATTAGGACATGACAAAAAAACTGAGGTATGTCTCGTTTCTGTCGGGCCTGGGTCACAAATGACCGTTCTTCTTTGAAACTAAAAAATAATGTAGGTAATGAAATTTAAATCTCATCCTCATTAATACGGTTATGGTCCGAAAGCGAGTGTCTCTTTATCAAAAAAATTACTCGGTGCGTATTAAAAAAAATAGGAATCCAACTAACATTATTTATTTTCTACGGTTTTATTCCAAAATTTAGCTTAACGTGTTTCCCAAGTTTAGTTTTCTTGTTTCGTAACCTAGTTAGTTTGACGTCTGTCCTTATTAAAGCTGGACAGTAATTATTGTATAGTATGGTACAGAACCAACGATGCTGGCGTCTATTTGGATACGATC